ACTTTGTAAGGGATATTAAAATTATGAAACTAATATAGGTTTATGGAAAACAAACAGAAATATATGTAGTAAAGAGTCAAAATTTTCTCTTCATTCCTGCCCCCTCCCACACACTCCTCGACAACCGCACTCATGTTCTCTAGGCACAACCATTATTTATTTATTTATTTTTAATACAAAAGCAGTCTTTCTCTTCACTGAGGTGGCCAAGTGACAGCACAGAGATGCACATCTTTGTGAAGACCCTGGCGGGCAAGACCATCACCCTCAAGGTTAAGCCCAGTGACACCATCAAGAATGTCAAAGCCAAAATCCAAGACAAGGAGGGCATCCCACCTGACCAGCAGCATCTGATATTTGCTGGCAAACAACTGGAGTGCAGTCAGACTCTCTCCGACTACAACATCCAGAAAGAGTCCACCCTGCACCTGGTGCTTCACCTATGAGGTGGGATCATCAAGCCATCCCTGTGCCAGCTTGCCCAGAAGTACAATGGTGACAAGATGATCTGCCCCAAGTGCTATGCCCGCCTGTACCCCCATGCTGTCAACTGACTCAAGAAGTGTGGCCACGTCAACCTGCACTCCAAGAAGAAGGTCAAATAAAGCTCAGCCAGCCCCTCATCCAGAAGGGCACCACCTGCCCAACACCTGCAGCCTTGGGGCCTGAATAAAGTTACCCTCCCTTGACTAGAGGAAAAAAAAATACTAGAGCAAAAATGCACCTTAATTTTCTATTAGTTTACATTCTTGAGGGGTACAGCATCACACAGATTCGATGTCCAGTGGCCTTAGCAGGAAGGTTGCTTCGGAACTTGGCACAAACCACGCTGCTGTTTCCATGGGCCTAAGTTACTTTTGCCCAGATCACTCTGGTTTTGTTTAGTTTGCCACCTGGAGTCACTGTGTTGTTTTTCACTTTGTACACATAAGCACATCTCTTGCCCAAGTAGAATTCAGTTTCATCCTGAGCATAAACACCTTCAATTTTAAGAAGAGCTGTGTGTTCACTCTGGTTCCGGAGACCCCACTTATAGCCAGCAAAAATGGCCATGCACCACAGTCTGCCAGACGTATTTGCCTTTTAGAAGTCCTGTTCCCGGCAGGCCCCACTTTTTTGCCCCCAACTCCCACACTGGGTGCCCTCCTCTAGCACAACCATTATTAACAATTTAAAGTATATTCCTATAGGCCACCTTCTGTGTATGTGTCTATGTGTATATACAAACATCAAATCATGTTATGTGTGTTTTCCTCTGACTTGCTTTTCTCCCCACTTGACAGTATATACTAAGCATCTCTTCATGTCAGTACATCTAAGTCTATCTCATTCTTTTTAATGGCTGCCCCCTTTTAATTTAACAATCTTAATCAGCTGTAAATGGGAAAGCCAAATAATCAAGCTTATTAGAATTGTACCTAAGAAAGAGTAAATCGGCTCTGAGTGAAGGCTTGTGGAATTCTCCTAGGAGTAAAATGTGTTAACTTTTGTACAGGGGTTTTATAATGTTTATTTTGGCTATTCTGGGATTCTTTTTGCTTATTTTCTGCTTCATTGTGTTTTGGATAGCTGAGGTTGCTGGACATGTGACCTATGAATTAGTGAGGTATTATATACTCAACTATATCTTATATAATTTTGCTATGATTTTATGGGGATTTTGAATTTTATTTTTTCATATAGACCAAGCATAGTGGTACGTGCCTATAATCTCAGTAATCGGTGAGGCTGAGGCAGGAGGCCCATGAGTTTTGTCCCAGACTGGGCAACTTAATGACTTAGTGAGACCCTGTCTCAAAACATTTTTAAAAGAGCTAGGGATTTAGCTCAGTGGAAGGCTGCTAGGTTGAATCCCCAATACTGTCAGAAAATAATTTTATTAAATTGTTTCTCTAGATAGTCATTCCTTTTTCTAGTTTTTAAGTATTTTGAGTCTAGTAAGGACCATTGTATATGGTAGCAGTTAAAAAATCTCTGGCCTGAAGATTGATATAGGATTTCTCATCTATGTCATTTACCTGTTATAATGTGCACTGGACTTTTGGAGGTTCTGTAAGTTGATTTAAAGAAGGCTTTCACTACTGATGACCATTAAAATACAGACAACTTCTTATGCTATAAATAATGAAATATTGTTTAGAATTTATATAGGATCTTTCTTCTGCCTTCATCTACCATTGTAAAGTAACTAAATTCAGTTGATTTAAAAGGTAGTAAACTTTTAAAGGTCACTGCACTGTATTCCTTCCTCTCTATTCCTACCGTCCAGTACCTTGACCCAGGGCCTAGTATGTCTTAAATCAGTTACCTGTAACAGACTTTTAAATTTGTTGGGCCAGGGAGATAGCTAGGGCTGGGGAGATAGCTCAGTAGAATAAGTGCTTGCCTGGCAAGTGCAAGGGACTGAGTTCAATCCCCAGTTCCCCCAAAAAAAAAAAAAAAATTATCTCTGCCTGTTGTCTTACCTCTGCTCAGATCACCCAGAAACCAGTGCTTGTTTTAAAACAGAAATCCTACCATATCGCACCCCCTCAACACACCTCATCATCCCCAGAATAAAGTCCACTTAGCTTAGTACAGTCTAGAAAGCCCTTTCTGATTTGGCCCACTTTTGCTATTTCTTGCTGTTCAATGCCTCATATTTTAATTCTTAGGGAAAGCAAGTGGCTTGTAGTTCTTTTAACACATCACATGAGTGTGCTCAGTAAATGCTTATTAAATGAATGAATGAAACACTTTCAGTACCTAGGGTGACCATTCAACTGACTTGGATCAGGATGCTCTCTATTCACACCTATCATCCCAGCATAATTAGTAGTAGTGCCCCTTTTATGACCAAACTTGTCTCAGTGAAACCTAATAAATTATATGGTCACCATAATTATAACAGTCATCAAATTGATTTCTAACTCTTTCTTTGTCTCTTCTACTGGATGTTGAGCTCTTTAGGGACAACATCCAGTAGAGATGTTTATTCATTTTATAGCTTCATTTTATTTTTTTCGACTAAGGGATTGACACTGTAAGGTACTGAAGAGTTAATGTTGAATAAAACAAACATAGTTCTCACCCACATGCAGTTTTAAATCTAGCAAGAAAACACAATCTAGTGAAAAGAACAATGCCTAACACGATAAATGCCTGTGTATGAGTAAATAACTAGACATGGATAAAGATTTAGAAGTTCATAAACAAACAGCCCTAATCCTATGAATTGTAGAAGCAGGGGTAGTCATAATCATGGAACTCAGGGTGACTCAAATATGTATTTTAAAAGTTAAACATGTATTACAAGCAACATGTATATATTGAAGCATGCATGACATTTAGATGTTGCCCTGATGTTAAACATAAGAAAAGGGATAAGGAAATAGCATCTTATTTACTATTGACGCTCTTGATTCATGCATTTGAGCCGAGCTAGTGTCCTCCACACTTGTTCTGGGTGGGCACTGGGTTGCTTCCATATGTTTCTGCATTTGATTCTTTAGTGCAGATGTTATTAATTCAGGGATTTCTTTTTTCATTTCCAATCTGAGGTCTTCTATATCTTTCTGTAGCTGTTTTATTTCAGAAGCTGTTGATTCATTGTTTTCAGCTGTGTGATTTCCAATTTTTTCTGTGTTAGTGTCCTCTGCATTTGTTATAGGTGGGCTTGGGTTCTGAGGTTGCAATTTGTTCCTTCTTGTCATTTTGTGTAGCACTGTCTTCTGCCCTTTGTTGTAGATCTTTGCTGTAGTTATAACCTTCACACGTACTGAAGTTCAGGTGGAGCTCTGCAGAGTTTGGACTTATCCAGCTGCATCTGGCTTAGGTCTGGCTGCTGTGCTCAGCTCCTTCCCGCTGTGGACCTGAGCTAGGACTGGGTCTGGGGGTTCCCGGAAGTCGGCAGAAATTCCGGACCTGGCCTAGGACTGTGCACTTGCCAGGGAAGCACTTATTCCACTGAGCCATCTCCCCGGCCCCTTCAAGGTGTTTTTTGTGAGGTGGATTATTACTACGTATTTCTTAGTATTTCTTAGGGGGAGCTTTTTGCCCCTCCACCCATGAGAAACAAGAAGTGCTGGAAACTGAGGCACAAGGAAATGACTTAAATCAGGACATGCATTGGTCGTGCTTTGCTTTAAGAGGAAGGACTACCTGCTATCTCAAACTTGTTAACACATTCCAAACACTTTTAACCTCCATTTCTTTTATAAAGCAGTGAAAATATCTCCAGAATTAATCTAAAGATTAAACAACATCATGTAAAGGTATTTAGTCCCATAACCTGGCTCCTAAAAGGCTCTCAGAAATGTTATTTCTTTATCCATTCCCCTTATCTTCCTGTACTTCGTGGCAAATGATTTGGAGAGAAAGAACTATAGTAAAGACAACAGAAAAACACCAATGAAAAAATTTCCTATCAATCTGAATGGTAAACTAGGTCCTCTCCACTCCCTCTGAAAGTTATTGTATAATTCATATTCATTTGCTATTACATTCTTACAGGCAAAGATTCAGAGAGTCATTCCACGAATGAAACAACAGTTAAGATCTTTCTGGAAAAGGGGAGAGTTTAGGAGAGAGCCAGACTCATGGGGTCAGTTAGCAGCTCTGAGTGTCTGTCTTACTAAAGATCTTCCCACTTACCGTTAGTCGTTTTTGATCCAAGAAAGACTGAAAAACACCAAAACCCTGGGGAGAGAGCCCTGGGCGAGGAGGAGAGTTGTACACGAGCAAACTCCCTAAGTTATTTCCGCAGTCTGGCGACTCCAAGATTTTTGAGCCCTTTCTCGAGGGCTACTAGCAGATCTATTCTCTAGGAGTGCCCTGGGTCTGGACTCCATTTCCCAGAGTCCCTTAGTGCCCTAATGTATTCAGTACTCAGAGTGCCTGTATGTGTGTGAGTGTGAGAGAATGTGTGCGTGTGTGTGCGTGTGCTTGTGTGTGTGTGTGTGTGTGTGTGTGCGCGCGCGCGCGTGTGTGCGCCTCCGAGTCCCTAGGAGAGTGGAGGCTCATTCACTGATTAGAGCCAGCGCTGAGAGGCAGCACCGCTCCTTCTCTCACACCAACCGAGTCTCTTGATCTGTACATGCAATCCCAGGCAGCTCGCGAGCACACACCCGGGGCCAGCCGCCTGCCGCTGCCGCCGCCGCCGCCGCCGCTGCCTCCGCCGGCTCCGCGCGCCCTGGACTTCCCATGCGCCGCACTCTCCGCCTTCTTCTCTAGGTGCCCAGAAAAGTGCGCACGTTCTCCCCAGGAATTTCCACGGCAAGTATGGAGAGCAGAAAGGGATGTGTAGGTGTGCGCGTACACGAAAGGGGTGGGGGCGAGGCGCCGGGTTGCTCTGGAACCTGGCTAACTTTCTGGGTCGGTTGTCCAGGATCCCCGCAGCTTCTTCACCATGGGGCTAGGGCTGGAACTCGCACCCGCGCATCAAGACCCGCGCAGCCGAGCCTGGCGTCGGTGCCCGGCACTCCGTGCGCTGCAACACTCAAACTTTCCGCCTTGAGTTTTCCTTAATGTGTTTTATTTGGGGGGTGCAAGGGGGAGGGACCAGATGCGGGAACTGGACAAGGAGAGAGGACGAGGGGACAGCCGGAGAGATGAGTGCAGGACTTACTTTCTCTATTTTCTGATGAGCCCCCCTCACACTTTGTTTGGGTCGATGGGGAACGTGCCCCCTTGCTGGCTCCCCCGCGTACCCTGCGGTGGTTTCCGGAGGGGCCGGGACGAAGTGGTACCCAGTGGGGAGCCCGAGCGGCGGGCGGGAGAGGGAAGGAGCGATCCAGCCGCCCTGCACAGAGCACTGCGGGGCCGGTGGGGCTCCCAAGGAGAGTCTGGGGGGGCCTCAAAGCCCCAGTGGCTCCTCTGGTTTTCTCCTAGGGGTAGTGGGTGCGGATGGGAGGGGCGGAGGTGAGTAATCTGCGGACAGGAAGGAGGCAGGTGCTGCTACCGAAGTAGACCGTTCTGTAAGCAAGCGGGAAACTCGGCTCCGCTGGGCCCGGCCGGCCTGGCCTTAGAGCAGCTCCACTTGTGTCTCTCGGGATTTGGGGGGACCCCCCCCCATCGATTCTAAGAAAGAAGCAGGAGGACGATCGTGTAGACCCGAACACCTTGGTTTTGTTGTATTATTGTTGTTTTAATCTTAGTCTTGCCTTAAATTGAGTAACAATTTCTCTCTTTCCGACTTGAGAACAAAACTTTTCAGCATGCAAGCCGGTCGCTGCAGCCCTGTGCCCACTGCCGCTGCGCTGGCCTGCTGAGGCCGAGCGAGCTTCTGCGCCCGGAGCCCGGCCCGGCCACTGCGCTCCGGAGCTCCAGCCCCCCACCCCCATCCCCGCCCCGGGGGCCTGGGCTTTTCAGGGCTCGGCCTGGGCGTTTCGCCTTTGTGCTTTGTAAGAGAAAGCCTTTTCTTCCAGGGCACAACAAACTTGGGCGGAGTGCTTCCGTGTGGCCCCTCAGGCGAGGCCGCCCACGGTGACCAGGCAGTCCGAGGGGATGTAAGGATCGCCCCTGCTCCCGGAGCCCTTGCAAGGCTCGGGTTACCCCGGCCGGCTAGGGCGTGAGCCCGGGAAGAGCTGGGTCTCTGGCTGCCCACAGGCAGTGACGAGCGCTCATTTTCCGTTAAGAGCCCGCTGCTTTCTTAGGTGCTGGCCGCTGCTCCAGAAGAGGGCCAGGGCCTGGGCCCCGTGCCGAGGTGCGCATCCTCTGGGGGGTTGCGTAGGGCCAGGGTCAACGGGTTGGGACACAACCCTGCTTGGGGGTGCAGGTGCCTCGGGATCCTTCGCCTGCGCCACCTCCCTGTCCAGGGAACGGCTGAGAGGGCAGACATCACGGTTCGCTCCCCGCGATGCCCAGCCGCCGCATCCTTGCCTTTTGCCTCCGCTCTGGACTCGGCTTGAGGGGCAAGGGGCAAAAACAGAAAAATAAAGAGGAAAAAGGGCGGGCAGCGGGAAAGCAGGAGTAGGTCTGGGGGGTAAGGGACAGAGTGGGCCAGGGCCCTATCCTTGCGTGTTCTCCTCCTCCTTTGGTCTTCTCGACCATCCGGGCAAAGCAGAAAGGAGCTAAGAGGGAAAGGCAGAGAGGGCGTCGAGGAAAAGCGCCAGGGGCGTCTTCCGTTCGGATCCCTCTAGGCCGCCGAGAGCCTGCGCGAGGGGCTTGAGTGCGCTCCTGCGCTCCATGACTAGGAGAGGGAAGGTGGAGGACCCGTGCGGCGCGCTGCCCAGACCGACCGGGCCGGGTCGAGCGGGGCGCACACCTGTTCTGCGAGCCGCAGCGGCGGCGACGCCCTCCCTTCTGCGCCCCTCGCCCTCGGCGGGGAACCGGAGGACGACAGCGCGCTCTGGGCGGCGTACACGCGGGGTGGAGGAGCCCGCTGCTACCCACTGAGGCGGCGGCGCGCGGCGACAGGACTCGGTGGCCGCGGGGCGGGGCTGTCCAGGGGCTCCGGGCCCTTGGACGTTGGTCGAAGGCAGGCTGCTCCGAGTTCTGCCCTAGGCTCGCCGCGACCTGGATCTGGGGCCCTCGCGCTACTCGGTTCTTCTCGGATCGGTGCCGTGGTTCTCCAAAGTTAAAGCAGATCGTTGTGAGCGGAGGTTGTGGGGCCCTAAAGTACTCTCTGCAAAAGGCAGCTGAAAGCCAGAGAGGTCAGGCTAAGGAGCATTGGGCCCGGTGCAGCGTGGCCCCGAGTTGGTGGAGGTTTTTGCCTTCACTTCTCCGTCCCTCGTTTTCCCTAAGGGTTGTTGTTTTTTTTTTTTTTTTCCCGGGCGGAGGCTCTTCCTGGATGAAACCTGAAGCGGGCTTCCCTGAAGCCCGGCTCACGGGATCCGCCCGTATGTCTCGGTCGCGCCTGTGGGCTAACCAGGGTCTGGAGCCGGGTCCACATATGGGACCGATACTCAGCCGTGTCTAAACCGCAGGCGTCGGCCACGGCCTGGGAACTCAGCTAGCTCTATGCTCCCTGAGTTCTCGCATATGGTGATAAAATTTTTGCTAGGGAGATTTTTCCACATACCCCCCACCCCGGGCAATTGGTGTGCGGGAATTCTGTTCAAGCGAAGAAGTCTGTGAACTTTAAAAAAAATCCTTCCTGTGTTCTTCACAATCCCCCACTATTCTGGCTTCACTTCCCATTGTTCTTTGCTTTTTAAGTTGCCTGTTAATTTTTTTAAAGTTTTTTTTATGCAAAGGGAAAATATCGTTTAATTTGTTCTATTATTTTTAATTCCTGGCTTTTGGAAACGGTTCAGAGACCACAAAAATGTCACCTGTTGTTATAAGCAGAGTGTTGTGTGTGCATTTTAATTGCCAGCAGAGTCGCAGTTTGGTGGGCTCCCTGAGCTCGGCTCCGGGAAACGGCCCTTTGCAGCTCGCTTTGTAGCAGTCATTTGCAAGTGGGTTTGGCTCCCAACAGCAGCTGCAGCCACTTCGCTTCCTCCTGGGCCGATCCGGACGCGGGTCAGGAAGCCCAGACCCGAGGCCTGGGTGGGAGACAGCCTACTCTCTGGGAGTTTCTGTCTGGCTTTCAGTTTTTCAGCGCTAAAGTGGCTAGTTCGCGCCGGAGAGCGCGAAGCGCTGCACATCTGCCCAGCCTCAGACATTTTCACGTTCCAAACGCCAGCTACTTCGTTTCATTTGTCTTGGTTGTGGCATGTTTAACCACGTAATTAGTAATCTCACTAATTATTCAGTTAGTTGGCGTTTTGTAATCACTTTAAACTAGGGTCGGCTGTGTGATTTAAGAAACAAACAAACTCCCACGCATACAGAAATGAACCAAACCCATCACGTCAAGGATTTGAAAATTTTAAGACTCAATATTTGTTGGTCCCTCTGACCAACCTCACTGCCTGCCAGACAATTTATTTAGCTTCATGGATTGATTCCTCCTCCTTGTTTAGTTAATTCAACAAAGACTTTTTGCAATCTGTTTAGAGTTTGTCTGATGCCGTGGAAAAGTAGCTGATGATTTATTTGGTTGCTTTTCGATTTCTGTCTTCAGCCCTTCTTTCTCCTCCTTTCAGCGGGGATGTCAGCTGTTATTACTTCCTATTGATCCCTTTGCAAAGTGAGAAGTGAACTAAAATTAATGTCAATTCCACTGCTCAGATCAATAGCTGGAGTTATTTTAATCTGGATTTGCACGAAGTGCTAAATTAAAAAAAATCAGCATAGAGGCAGAAAAGTAACAGTTACTTACTTTCCCTTTGCCCAGTTCTTTACAGTCACCCAAATGCTCTATCAAGCTGATTATCTTACAATCCATATTTTTTTAATTAAGAGGGTCAGTTAGTTTTCTTATTTTGGGTTCTGTGTTTAAACCCATGACATTTTGACATTGGGAGTGTATTAACTATAGATTTTCATAATGACTGTGGTCTACTGAACCCTCATCTATACAGGTTGTTAATGGGGGGTGATAGCCCCTCCTCTCCCACAGAGACCAACACCCACACAGTGGAGTAAAAGAGATGTGGTCTGGAAAAATATTGTTGATTTATTTTCAGTATAATAAAGTTTTCAAATGCATAAGCAGCTTTGAGTAATTCACTGTTCTGTTATAGCGTCCGGTGCTGTCGCCAGATTACTAATTTATGAAACTCATTTAACATAATGAGGTGATCTAGGAAGTAAAAATAGAAAGTGAATCCTAGGAGGAGTTATTTTGGGGGAGAAACATCCCTCCCTTGGTCCCCAGTGTATTACGTTTGTCTTTTTCTCCTGCTGCCCTCAGAGACTCTGGCTTGTCGATAGATATGTAGTTATTTATTTCTGTTGTGAGGAGCTGCTTTGAACCCTTGAAACAGCCTAGATTCACTTTGAGAGCATCCATGTTGTGTGACCATTAATCTGACTTGAAAACAGCCAAGAACAGGATTCCCAGACTTGTCAAGCTAACTGGCTCTCCTTGGCAGATCATTCCCTACACTGCTATAACTTGACAGGAAAGTTATTTAAAATTTGGAAGAGAGAAAAATCCGTTAATGTGAGATACATAATCTGGTAATTTAGCAATGATGTCTATAAGGAAAGATGCCAAATGAGGAAGCAGTTTGATGGTGTCCACTCATCTTCCCAATTAATAACAGCCATTGACACGTCTGCTACAGGATGGGAGAAGGAAATACTCTCTGTGCACTGCATTAAGTCAGGAGGATTCATCTGCAGTTTAACGAAGGATTCTCTCTTTGAGGGAATACCACTGATACTCCATTATGGAAGTGGGCTTTTAAAGAGAAGGGATCATTTTTATTTCTGACTCTTAATCTAAAAGTTATAATTTGTAGCAGATGGTGATTTTGGGGTTTGAGTTGCACTCAGTTTCTATTTAGGGTCTCTACTTGAAGCTAGTAAGTCCTCATATTCACCTTATGTTATCCTGACTTTTGATGCAGAGCCCTTCTGCAACCTCCCAGTCAATATATATTTTAAAACTGAATTAGTAGTTATGAAAATATACAACCTAAATTTACAAGGGAAACAACAAATGTCTCTTTGAACTCTGGTTTGTTCTGGGAACCTTTATTGGACATCAGCTCTGACTGGGCCAATAAGCAGAGCAAAATAAGTCAGAAATCTTAGCTTTTTGCTCTCAATGTTAATGGCAAATCCAAATCTGTTTACAAATCTACTTAAGAGTGAGTGCATTAGTAGCTAAAATTACTGATTCATCTTTTGCTGCCCCTGGAAGACAGATGCTTCTAGAGAACACATGCCAAAGACACCCATTGTAGTTTTGAATATTGTCAGAGATGCCAGGCATTTTATTGATGAAGGCTTTGTTTCTTCTCAGAAAAGAGAAACAGGAAGCTTGTGAGATTAGAGTTGTAGGCATAAAAAATGTTGCTGCTGTTTATTCACAGAGCACTTTCTGGAAACAGTTTGAGATGGTACAGGAAGATGTGTGTTTATATATGTACCATTGCCTGTAATTTAGCCACGTGTACAGTTTGTGCCAACTACTATGTACAGGTGTTCCTGTGTCGATGTGTTGATGTAGGAAAATTTTCATATCAAGGTGTTAATAGGGAAATGAAGACAGAATGCAGATGCAAGGATAGGTAGGTAGAACAGGGTGCCTGAAAATCAGGCTAGCCCTGAGGAATATATGCAGGTGGAAGCTCTTTAAAATATAGATTACCCCCTACCCCCATCTGTTGGATGACTTGGCTTCCCAAAGCTCATTTGCTCAGGGAATATTGTATTTGGAGGTTTTATGATTTTTTTTCTTTGCTGGGCTCAGGCGCATTTCACCCGGAACGTGTAGGGACCAAAGTCAGCTACGCGTACATCACAGTAAGTTGTCTATTGATTTTCCCGAATGAAAATGGTCTGCTGCTGCTGCTGCCCACTGGCTCCTAAAGCCTGTGATGTCTCTTGCCCAAGTATCAGTAAGCAAGAAGGCTGGTGTTTCAGTCACTTGGGGTTTCCCATTTTTCCTCCTTCTGACTTTCCTTCCCCCTCTTTTTGTCTCTTTGCTGTATCTGCAGGTCTTAGAAGGGCATGATTCCCCAGTAACATTCCCTGCCCTCATCCAAGGTGCCGCTCGGCTTCCTTCCCAGGGAAGACTGCTTCTTGTGTGACGCCAGCCCTTGAAAGAGACTCCGATGGACTTACACCGGGCAGCCTTCAAGATGGAGAACTCTTCCTACCTTCCCAACCCTCTGGCATCACCAGCACTGATGGTCTTGGCATCCACAGCTGAGGCCAGCCGGGATGCTTCCATCCCTTGTCAACAGCCACGACCCTTTGGTGTACCTGTCTCAGTAGACAAGGATGTGCATATTCCCTTCACCAATGGCTCCTACACCTTTGCCTCTATGTACCATCGGCAAGGTGGGGTACCAGGCACTTTTGCCAATCGTGATTTCCCCCCTTCCTTATTACACCTCCACCCTCAGTTTGCTCCCCCTAATCTAGATTGCACCCCAATCAGCATGCTGAATCATAGTGGTGTGGGGGCTTTCCGTCCCTTTGCTTCTACTGAGGACCGAGAAAGCTATCAGTCAGCCTTTACACCAGCCAAACGACTTAAGAACTGCCATGACACAGAGTCTCCCCACCTGCGCTTCTCAGATGCAGATGGCAAGGAATATGACTTTGGGACACAGCTGCCATCTAGCTCTCCCGGTTCACTTAAGGTTGATGACACTGGGAAGAAGATTTTTGCTGTCTCTGGCCTCATTTCTGATCGGGAAGCCTCATCTAGCCCAGAGGACCGGAATGACAGATGTAAGTACTTTGGTTGGAACCCCCCCTCACCCAGTAAGCTCTGCCTTGCAGTAGTGTTCAACAGGTCAGCAGCCTTGTCCACATGTCTAGAGATGAACAGCCCATGGCTTCCCATTGGTAGTAGTAGAGAGCTACCGTTTACTTGTCTGTCATCATGAGCACTGGTAGTTCCCATAGAAAGTGCTTTTCTGAAGGTAACCAGAGGCGAGTGTGCCTCAGTACTGCCTGTCTCTCCCAGACATGGCCGACTTCTCTGAGAACCATGGAATGAAGAGGGTGCTGTACATACCCCGAAGTGAAGGTCATTCTGTTAGACAGCATAGACTCCTAGGGAATTTGGGAGGCCGGAAGAAATGTGTCCATCCTTGGTTATGTTACTCTGATTGCTGCATTATTTTTTTTAGCTTTTCCATTGTATCAGCCAGCAGATTCCACGTGATTTTATTTTCACAACTCTCAGCCGTTGTCCACATCGAGCTATTTTTCAGAGAAGGACAAAGGTGTCGTCAGTCCCCATAAAGCATTTCAAACAGCTGTGTTTTCCTTGCAATTGCAAGGCTGGAAAGCTGACTTCTCTTGGGATTTGACAGGTTTGCTGGCTGCTTATCCTGAGGCTCACTTTTGGGACTAGACAGGGTTGACCTATATGACTGCTCCGTAGTTGGTACTCACAACTATTATTAATTTCTGTTCATAAAATGACTTTTTAAATTTTTTTTTCATGTTTTCCAAGTGCCTGGTTGGATTCTGGCTATCCTCATCTATACTAACTTCTTGGAACTAAAGCTTTATTTAAAATTTGTAGACCAGGAGTGCTGAGCCCTGCAATCTTCCACTCTGATATAATCAGAAAATAACTGTTTTGATGCTTTTGGGTTGTGGGTAGACAGAGCAGTTTTCTTCAAGGCTGGTGACAATTTATGAACTGAGGATGTTTTTCCACCTAACCCTTTGTTCTAAGATATGGTCAATTTTATTAAGAAAACATCAGAGGTTTGTTTTCCCTTTTTCTTTATTTGTGTGTGTGTGTGTGTGTGTGTGTGTGTGTGTGTGTGCATGTGCGCGTGCACGCTTGTGCTCCCATTCTCTCTATAACCACCAACAGGAATACCATTTTTTTTCCTCTTTATGATGCCGAGGAGAGTAATAGAGACATTGTAGCGCTCTCCCCTGTCGGCACTGCTTCCTCAGGCTGTCTCCTTGAATTAGGCACTGTGTTAACTTTCCTGTGCTAAAAGGCATCTGCCTAAACCCAGCGTACCTTTTCAATAAAAGTCATCATAAAATCAACCTGCCTTGTAAATCCATCGCTCTTTGGTTTTGAAATATGTTGCAAGTGTGTCTTTTATGTCAGCGCCTATAAGCTGGAGACCTCCCCACTTAAGGGAGAAGCCTGGTATATGACAGCACAGCTGCTAGCATGGCTTTCTCACTTCAGCCTCCACTCCTCTATCACCTTTTCACTTTCTGTTGACTCCTGTGTCTTCTGTTCCTGCTTCTTGGGCATACCTGCTGGACAGGAATTGGCATTATAGCAATTGGTCTTTATTTTATTTTTGATTTGCTAAGTGTTGAGTAAGTGACCAAGGCTAGCTGTGATCTGACCTCTGGCTGAAATTGCCCTTGGTTGGGGTGTGACCTATTCTGGCTTCTTTTCTTCCAAGTACAAGTTGAAAATAAAATCCTCTCAAAACTGCTGTGGCACAGAGTAGCATCTAGAGACTGTGAGCCCTCTCTTCTCACCCAAAAGAGCCAGCTTGTTTCCATTTTGCTATCTTTTCAGCACAAACCTGTATCAGACTCCCAGAGCAGGCAGAAGCTTGTTAGTCAAGTCAGAACTCATAGATGTGGATATCCATTCCCCTCCGAGCGTCAAAGCCATAACTCTTCTGTTTGCCTGGTTTGCATTGTATGGTGGTGCCATCCCCCATGGAGATGGATCCCTCACACAGGAATACGCCTGGGTGGAGAAAAATTAAATGAGTCTGTCTCCCAAAGTGAAATGGAATTCTGACCTTGAAATTAATGAGATTCTGATCAGAAGGGTGGGGAAACTTCTTTATTTCAAATTGTCATGTAATATAAATTTTATACTTAAAATATTCTTCCCTTTGAGTATTCTTTTTTTTTCCTTTGTACAAATACATGTAGCACAGTATGTTTGTATGCACATGCATTATTAGCTGGACTTGTATTTGTGACTAATCTTTAATCAGAAACAAAGGTGTCAAGTGAAGAGGAGACTGTCACCCCGTGGTAGCCCTGGATCTGTGCTCCAATTTCCTTTCCGTGCCTTGCCTTCGGTGTAGAGCAGCCATCCCAGGGCTGCACTGGGCAACATCTGTGCTTTTGATTTTGGGTTTTTGGAAGGCAAGAAACACATTTTTTTGCTAAGAAGGGTTGAAGAGGCACTGTGACAGAGTTGGTAGCAGCTTTCTTGGCTCCTGTCATATGCCGACGTGTGTCAGAATATTTATGGTCTATTTTATGTAAATACATATTTAAGGGCCGTTAGAAGGCCTGATTATTCCCACTAGATGCTTTTCAGGCCCTCCCTAAAGAACCGTTTTGAAATAAGTAATATTTCTCAGATAATCGAGTGACAGTATACAAGACTGCTTGCAGAGGGAAAAGGGGCTTCAGGGGCAGATGGGCCAGTGAGGGGACCGGTGAGCCAAAAGAGAGAAAGTGTTCAAAATGCCAAGGACTAGGACAGTGCTTTTGCCTGGATTGCCAAAATGAATCATGTATTACACTAGGATTTTTTATTATTAAACTTTAAAGGAATTAATTTCTGATATGGTTGACTCGTTTTTCAGTTCTTTTCATATAAATAAAGTATTTTTTCATAAAATGTGAAAATGTTTTAATTAAATGTGATAGTGAAACTCCTAAATAAGCACTGGCTTTAAAGCTTTGTTGTCCAGTAGGGTGTGGTGGTGAGTATGGGTAGAAGTTTTACGACTGAGTTTTAAGTCACTGAAAAATCAGTTTTACAGTGGAAACACTGACAGTCTTTACTGTTGCAGCCCCCTTCCCATACGCACTGCATCCATCTGCAGGTGTGTCCACATGTGCATGCCTTTGAACCTAGGCCTGCAGCCATGGTGTAATGCACATGTGTTGGTTCCTTAAATCTGGACACCGATAGGCAGGATTTCTTTTGTGGCTAAATATGTATTTTTTCGAAGACAAATATAGCTACTTGGGTAAAGTATCCTCTTTCTGGTAGCTGATTCCAGTTTGCTTGCCTGTCCATCCACCTGGCCTCACAGGTGATTCTGAGGTAGGTGTTGGGCTCTATGAACAAGGAAGCCTTTGCACTACAGGACTGACTTATTTGTCCTGGAAAATGGGAGAGGTGTTTTGCAAGAAGCTGCGTGTGAAGGATGCACAATTCCCCAGGAAGGGAACTGAGGTAACTCCAGTTTATTGTCATTCTCTGAACCAGTCCCCAAGGCTCCTTCCTTGTCCAGGGAAATGATGTTAAAATTTATGGACCAATTACGAATAGTCCACATTGTATCTTACATATGAAGTGTCTGCCGATATGTTTCCCAGGGCCTTTAAAATAAACATTGCTCATTAAGGAAACTTTACAACAAAAGGGAAGGTAAGTACTATCTGCTGCCTTGTGCTAGAATCCATACATTTATTACAGTCCTCTGGCTCCTGTCACGTGCATCTCCAGATGGGTCTCTGCTGGCTATCCCTGTACCCAGACTTGCTTGGGTAGCAGTAGCCTTTGGCCAGCCTGTCTGTTTATCCATTCAGCCCCAATTGTAGCTGGTTAGTGTGCAAGTGTACCCCAGGGCAAAGAGGGCTGAAAACTCCCCAGTGGAGCCTTTTGACTCACTCCCCCCCCCCCATGGGCCTTAGGCACTAACTATAAGTGGCTTTACTTGGCTCTTTTCCCTGGCCCTTCTGGGTGGTCAGACAGGCTCAAGGTCGGCAGGAAACCTGAGGGCTCTCAGCAGCTTCTGGATGTTTGGCTGTACTCTCATCTTTGACGTACTTGCAAAGCCATCCTCAGGTCCCAGAAGCCCTGCGTAGATATTTTACACCCGGAGATGTGTCTTTCTAAAGGTATGTGTCATGGAAGACTATGTCTTCAGCTGAGCTCACCTAAGCCAAGGGCAGCCTGAGATGAGCAGGGCCAGCTGACACGAAGAAGTCACATCAGGGGATACATTCCAAGGGCCTAAAGCAGAAGAGACTTCTGGGTAAGGGAGAATGGGACAGTTCCAAGGTCACTAGGCTCCGCCTCTGGACCGCAGCTGGAGCGTCTGACCAAAGTGAAGGGTCAGCTAATCGCCAGACCAGCAGGGTCAGATGGTTCCCTCTGGCCTCACTGGCTGTTCCAGTACGATTCTCGTTCAGCTGCTCCTGGTTCGCCCAGAGCCTCTTTCCTGGCCCGCTCTCCCCGGGGGCAAGAACTCCTCTGATGTGTGTGGTTGTTTCTGGTTGTTCACTCCCAACACAGTCGTGGAGACTCCTTTTCATGCTGCTGAGTTTAATTGTCTTGTTGGGATAAAGAAATGTTTGCACAGCTAAAGTGGGGCCGGGCTGGACGGGAGCGGTCCCCGAAGGCTACAGAGCCATCTGGCCTGGCTTGGCTCAGAGCACCGCCCGCCCGCGCCCTTCCCGGCTCGCTCCACGCCGTTGCGGCTGGGCAGCCGCCTGGCTCGGCCGGAATGCCTAATCACCGCGGTGAGAGGACCGACCCCGCGGCCTCCTCCGCGCCTCCCCTCCCTCCACCAATTGTCATGCAGAAGCGACCGGGGCTGAGCTCCCGGCCGCCGCTCGGCCAGAGGAGCTGCCGTGGGCCGCGGGGCGGGGCGCGGGGCGCGGGGCGGTGGGCGCAGTGCGCTCCTGCGCTGAGGTCCGGGCCGCGCCTCCGAGGCTCCGCGTGCGCGTGGTTGGAGGCGTGCAGCTGGCCTCGCCGTCGCTCTGTGGGCCTCAGGGGGCTGGGTCTCCCAGCCCTGCCCCTAGGGCCCCCG